GTGACTCTGCAGTTGTCAGGGGCACCAGAAATTGGTTTGATGTCACTCAAAGACTTTTATTGGATCGGTTCGTATCTGGTGGTGTCGTGTCTCTTTTCGTCGCCTGTTCTTTTTTGTGCCGACCTCGGCGTAGTGATGAGTGTTATATCGCTAGACTATTTTGGTTGCAAGATTATTTGTTGCTATGGGGATCGATGTGGGGGGGAGTTGCATTTCTTGTGTGGATGCATTTGAATATTGGGGAGTGCATTCCGTGGATGGATACATTTGGTACTGTATTGGGTCCATCCAGAAATTACCATTTCGCCAATTCGCCAAATTCTGGCTGTCTTTTAGAAACAAGCCCCGCCACTTCGCCAAATCGCCAAAGCGATGATTATGGCGCCAGCTGTGTAATACTCGCGACCCGAAACCCACCATCACACAGTAACGGCCACGTGTGGCGAATTGTGCGCGTCGGTCTCTAGGGACACTGCAAAAAAGGAACGCTAGAACTCTCGGGGAAGGATAAGGTAGGCCGGAGGGGCTCCTGGCCTTTTCAGAAAACGCAAGTCGGTGGCGAGTTCGCTCTGCCCCAGCCATGCCTGGGGAGAGCGCTGCCTTTATATTAAATCATCCCTTCTCGCCCTTTTCAGAACTTTCTACCCAACAGTCGCGCTCAATTGTGTTCATCGCTGGGCCGCCCGATCGCGACCTTTCGGCGTCCGTCGGATATTCGCGGTAGGGGAATTAGGCAACTTTTAAGTCCGTTAATCGTAGTGCTCTTGAAATCGGACTACTGCGCTGCACACGTTCACTACTGGTTTCCATGTTTCTTGACGACCGGAAATCGTCGTCTTTGCCTCATGACAAAATTTGATTCTACGGTGTCGTCATTTGTGTGTTGACTGGTCTTAGCAGGACACCTCGCAGATACCAACGATTTTTGCGCGAACGATTATGAGCAGGCCTCATTTTCTGGGTGTGATAAAAAGCGAGTGAGGTCCTGTACGCGGCTATTGCCCCGCACAAAGATGTCTTCGAGCTAGGGAACAGGACTTCTCATCGGATCGGCTGTAGCCATTGAAAAGGGGAAGAGGGGCGGGAAGTTGTGAGCAAGGTTGAGTTGGAGGGGAGTAGGACAGGGAACGATGACGAAAGGAAGTGCAAGGGAATTTGCAATTCCAGGATGTACCGTAGACATATATTCGCGCGAAAACATTTGTCAGGGGATTTGGCGAGGTGACGCACCCCACGAGAGCGGCATCACTTCATCGAAAGTGGCGGCTGTCCGCCAGATTTTCTGAGCGATGATTGGCCAAAAAAGTGGTAAAGTGGTAATCTGGCAATTTCTGGATGGACCCATTGTCTGTTCTGTCTTCAATCTGTCGCATATCACGCATTGCTGGACCACGCATTGCTGGACCACATTTATACCCTGCTGCCGCATTTCTTACAAGGAGTCTACGGTCCACCGGAAGCAATCGTTCTCATGGTTCTCATCTACAGCAGCGACGTAGATGACTTCAAAGGGGTACAGTATTGAGTCCCAGTGTCCTGCATCACAAAGAGAGGACGCGCTATAATTTCATGCCAACGATCGCTTCCAATGTCTACAGCAGCGACGTAGGTGACTTCCAAGGGGTACTGGGTCCCAGTGTCCTGCATGACAAAGAGAGGACGCGCTGTAATTTCATGCCAACGATCGCTTCCAATGTAACGTAGACTCTTTGAAAAATTGCATTTCTAAAAGCATGAGTCGGCACCATATATCATCTCAAAGCATGCCATTGCACCGCATGCTATTCTCTCTATGGTATTTGAGGCGTTGGGCATTGGGCAAGAAAGGCGGACGATAGCCTCCTAGAGGCTTTTCTCTCTGCAGACGAGTGGGCAACTCCATCTTGATATGGCCTATTATATATTTCGACATCGACGATATCTGCACTCCAACAATATCAAACCGACTAATACAACAAGTTAGTACTGTCACAAACGCGTTGGATGGTAAACATCCCGGGCTCAGGTGTACCTGAACACAGCAACTTGACCATTGCTGTTGCAGATCATGAGGAGGTGACCATAAATGCTGCCGGAGGAGCGGTGACCGTGCTGCGAGTGATGGCAGCAGCAAAGGTTTGCATGGCTGGCGCGCCAGATGCGGTCAATTGTTCAAACTGAGGCAACAATGTGCGTTGTAGTGTCACTCACGGTGGTGCGGCGAGGCCTTGCAGGCCGACCGTCTTTCCAGGATAAGAGTTGATGGAGTGATAACTGTGGTGGGGAGGATGTTCTTTGCGAACTGCATTGAATTCGTCCGTGTGATGGCGTGGCACTAGCAAAGAAAGCAAAAGCCAATGAAATGCACGCCTCTCGATCTGCTAATACACTGCGCCGCAGGTCATCATTAGTAAAAGGGAGATTTTGCGTTTAGTGGGGCGATCGTGTGGGGCGATCGTGGTCTCAACACTACAAGAAAAGCCATTTCACCCCCTTTTTGCCACAAAAAAGACCACGATCGCCCCACTAAACGCAGCATTAGCTCTTAATAAAAAGATCCAACAATCACCGGCGGCACCCTCGTGGGCAGTCGTCATGTTTCTCTGTGATATGCTCTGTTGGGACGGGCTCTGACAGTGCCCGGGGTGTGGAGAGCATTGCTTGCACTACTGTAGACCGCGAAAAGGGCACCATCGTTGGTTTCGCAGACACAAAAAAACAGCGAATCGTACACTATGTGCCAACAATGAGTGGCCAGCCGACGGCCTGCTCCCCTGATATCTAGCACTGGTCATTTACTGTAGGAGTTCGCGGTGCCAGCACCCGAGCACCCGGACATTTGGCATGAATGGATTGGTTGAACGGGAGTAAAGCATTTCCAATAATTTTTTCAACCAATACATTCATGCTAAGTTTCAGGGTGCTCGGGTGCTGGATCGGCGAACTCTTTGTTAGGAACGGCCCCCAGGGCCGTGGCTGTGGTGGACAGCGCGTCACCGTTAATAACGGGCAAACACGGGCAAACACGGGCAAACAAGCGCCTGTTAAGACACACCCTAATGTGCTAGGCTACCGTTTATTAACGCCGACAGAGCTAGCATCCATTGCCGTCTCCATACCAAACCACGGCGACTGTCCCATCAGTCGCCAGTCCCATCAGTCGCCAGTCCCAACAGTCGCCAGTCCCATCAGTCGCCCCGCCATCTATGCTAGCGACGCCACCGCCATCGCACACCCGCTGCTTCGTCCCGCCCCTCACCATGATGAGCAGCTGGTTTTCGCGCATGATCGCCTCCTCCGCCGCGGCCACTCCGCCCGCCGGGCCGCAGTTCATCGTCATCGGCTCCGGCGTGTCCACTGCCATTCCCCGAATTTCATGCGTCATGCGCCCGAAGCCCGGCGACGCGTGCAAGACCTGCCACGACGCCGTCAACAACCCCTCGGGCCCGAACAGGCGCGGCAACGTGTCCGCCCTGGTCCGCCTGGGCGGGAAGAACATCCTCATCGACTGCGGGAAGACCACGCGCGACGCCGCCATTACCCACTTTCCTAAGAACGGCGTCCGGAACGTCGACGCCGTCGTCCTCACGCATGGCCACGCAGATGCTATTCTGGGCCTTGATGACTCGCGAGATATTCAGCATGGCTCCACGAAAAAGGAACTTCCCAACGGCGAAACGCAGTGGATACCCCCAAATCCCATGCAAATCTTTTTGAATGAGGAAACCATGCGCGTGTGTCAGACTGTCTTTCCGTATTTGGTCCCGGAGGACCAGCGCATTGCCTCGGAAACGTCGACGGAATCGGGAGATCAGTGTTGTGATGGGGAAAAGAAGAAAGACATTCCGAGGCGAGTGGCCACCTTGAAATGGAATCCATATCCGGTGTCTGAATATTTCGTCCCTTTTCGACCGGTTGAAGACGTTGACGTAACATTTACACCATTTCCGATGTGGCATGGGGGTACTTATGTCTGTATGGGTTTCTTGATTAAGATGCGGGAAGCTCCCGATGCGGACGAGGTGGTTATTTTATATATGAGCGACCTTAACGACTTGCCTGATGATTCGGATAGCTTCATCACCGAGGTAAAGGATATAGACCTGCTCGTCGTTGACATGCTCACCAAGTCTACCCTCAATAGATCACATTTTGACTATCAAGCCTCAATAGACATGGTGCGCCGCTTGAGACCGAAGAAGGCCGTCGCCGTAGGTATGACTTGCTCCCTCGGCTTACATGACGATGTCAACCGAGAACTTGCTGAGCTGGATAAAGAAGGAATCGACTTTCGTTTGTCCTTTGACGGACAAGTGTTTCAATTCTGATCCATTGCATTTGAGTTTCCGGCGTTTTTGCTCACCCTCACTTCTAAGACCCGGTCAGGGAGTTTGAGGATGCTGCAAATGATCTCACCTGCTCTGAAGCACTTGGTGAAAAGGAGGAACACAAAAATTCCATTCTTGTGAAAATGCTACACGTATCTCCGGAAATTTTTGTGAAACAGCTTCTTGTAGGGTTTAAATATGAACGAGGTCACCTGTAACGCTGAAATTATTGCTTCATCGCTTGAAACTTGCTTTTTTCCGGTTCGATTCTACAACAGAAGAAGTATCAAGCACGAATCTTTCTGCTAGAGCCACATTCTCTTGTACTCTAGAGGGAGCCTAGAGTATTTTCGAGAAGAGGGCAACTCTTCGCGTTTATTCGTCAGCCAACACACTATATTTACCAACCACGTTTATTTATCAAAGCTGAATTCCCTGGAAAATTTGAGAATGCAAAGCTTGAAGAAGATTACTTTTCTCCACTTGTGAGAACTGTTCTTCGAGTGACGAAGCAGGCGTGGTTTAAAAAGAAAAACGACAACCGAAAAATTGTGCAGGATGACGGCACGCGCAGTGTTTGACAAAAGATTCAAAACCTTACCGCGATTTGCGTATTCCCAAATCCAGGAGCAACTGACAATGGAATATCTCTCCACATAGTACCATTGCTCATTCTCCCATGTAAAGCTGCGGCCCTTCTCTTCACCATTTTCTTCGTCATATCTTCCTTCGATGGTGGGGATATTTATGTGTGATAAGTGCATAGCATGGAAAGATAAAACCAAGAAAGAAACTGCCCGCACTGGCCCTGATAGCCCTCGGGCATTTTTGAGCACACCGACGACGACGACGAAAACACATGATCATGCTTTGATACCCCCCGGAGAGAAAAACGTTGACCATGATTACATCTTCAGCGTGGCTGCCCCTGTCCCCCAGCACGGGCAATTTAAAGTGGAGAACCAGTCTTCAATTCTACCAGTGCAGCCACGGGCTTCTATGTGGCAAAGGCTGAAATGGGCCTTCATCCTATCCGTTGGCTGTAAAAATTCTCTGTCTCGATTGAGTAGCGCGGAATTGAAACTCGCGATCGGGTCAGCGCTGGAGGCCACGCTCATGGGAAGCGCACTTGTTCTCACAGTGAGCCTGCAGATTCAGGAAGTCGTGGGAGGGAGAGGCGGGCTCAAGCCAGATGGTGGCCATTATGTGGCGAGATATACCTTTGTCATTGCATCTGCACTATCCTTTGCCTTATGCTTTTACGCGATCATGTCGTCCTTTGTCCTGCTACTAGAACTCTCCCCGTGTCCGCCGAGGTACGTAAGTCGGGATGAGAATGCAAACAGGAGCGCTTCCTTTCTCGTGCAAAAGTGCAGTAGAGAACGCAACCCATAGAGGCGCTACAGTGACACGGGAAAACATCTGACACGTCTATGAAATGCATCCTTTCTTCTGCGGTCATTGCGAATGTGGTGTGCTATGCCATGTTTCCCAAGGCACGCGAAACTCATGCTTGGGAAGATGTCGGGCTGGCTAAGCGCCCCCAAAACGTGCACCTTTGTCGCGGCGCTCTGCCTAGGCGTCGCGGCCCTGGCGGCAAACTTCCTCGGTCTGGACGGACGCACCGCGCTGGTAACTTCCTCCATCTTGGCAGTTGGCCTGGCCGCGGCGCTCGCAAGCATCCCCGTGATCATTTCGAGAGCCCGCCAGCTGCGGGAGGGCAGCGTCTACGCACGGGGCGACAGCGATGACGAAGGCAGTCTTGATCCGTTTGAGGGTGGCCTGGAAACAGACTTTGACGGGCGGACGAACAGGCAAGTGTGCCCGCGTGCGGCGTCGATGGAAGCAAAAATTCAGCCTCTGCTGTCCCCGCTGAGCGCCGGGCTAGGCTATTTCGGGCCATAACTTTTTCCATCATTGAACATGCTAAAAGCTTTTTACTTGACGTTTTCGGAAAACGAGCGAGAGGGTTGTCCCCCTGATGTGGCACATCCTTCTTTTCAAATTTGCACGTTTTAGCAAGGGAGGTAGGTAGGTAGGTAGTACAAGGAATGCCTGCAAGCCGGGGGGTGTGCCACTTCTATATACAAGCCTGAAGACAAATACAAAATGGTCGTTGAAAATATATCGTGAGGATTGCGTTTGTTCATGCTCGTCAAAAGCTTTCTCCAAGTCGTTGCCGAGCAGATGGTGGGCCTTGTACGGGTTCCATCGGCTCGATGCGGTCGGGGGACAGCCGCTTGCCGAGAACGGCAGTAGTAGTACCACCGAGGGGATAGCCTGGCCCCCCAGGCAATAGGCCGAGGGCCAAATGTTGACCAGCACTGGTGGGAGTCGGGGTAGGGGCGGGGAGGGCTCTGGAAAAGGGAAGGATGCCGGCGTTGGGTGGGCTCGGCAACGGCTGATACGACGAGGACGTGAGGGCCATGGGTAAGCCGGTGATGCCCTTTGGAGTTGCGAGAGGGTCGGATGGAAACTCGCTGTTGTTCGGGGTGCCCAAGTACATGAGGCCTTCTGAAGCAACTCCCGGGCCGGGGGTGGCCCTGCCGCTTGCCATGGGGGCGAGGGTGTTTGGGTTTGGGGTGTTGATGGAAGTGAGGGCACCCGACGACGGGTTCCACGACGGCAGCCATCTGGAGGTGGCCGGGCTCAACACATGCCCCCCCGCGCCCGCGGAGGGAAGGCCCGACATGACTCCGCTCGGAGGCCCGCTGCGATGCGACAGCGGCTGCAGGCTGAGGGAGGAGGATTGCGGTATGACGAGCTTGAGCTCGTGGCGGAACTTGTTCTTGATCTCGGCGGCCGAGGTGCGCGGGTGGTGGGGGTGGGGGTGGGGGTGGTGGTGGTGGTCGTTGTTAGCGGGGTGCGGCGGCGGCGGTTGGTGGTGCGGTG